AATCCCAATATGTGTAAATTAACTGGTTTGCGTGAACAAATGACGGTATATATACACCAAATTTTCTTTTTTTAATAATGGCGGCGATCAGTGACTTATAGTGGAACTGCGGCGGGCATTCTGACACTGGGGGGAACTGACATCCCTAGTAACACCAATACAGTGATCAGTGCTAATAAAAAAACACTGACACTGTACTAATGGCACTGGGCAGGAAGGGGTTAACATGTGGGGCAATCAAAGGGGTTACTATGAGGCTCTGTGCTGTGTTTCACTGTAAGCACACTGCATACAAAAGTGTGCAGGAGCTGACAGGGAAGAGATCTGTGTTGTTTAGACACAGGTCTCTCCCCCGTCGGAGATACTCGGCGATCACCAGGTGCTGGCGAGAAATCACTGGTGCAAGCCCCCTATCCAGAACTGCAAAATCACACCCATGCCACCCTGTAGTGGTTAAGGGGGTAATTCTTATAAATGACCTGTAAGGAGCAATCTTCCCACTGACATTAATTAATTACACATTAATGTATTATGAGTTGTAGATATAGTAACTTTTAGCAGGGACCCCGAGACCACAAAGTCATTTCAAAGGTTTCCTCCGTGTTGAAAAGTTTGAGAAAGACTAACCTAGATAAATGAAAACCTTCACAGTGACATGATAGATTACAGCATTTTACTGCTCAATGGTGTCTGCTAAGCTAGTGCCAAAAAATTGTCTGCCGAAACCTTACACCCCCTCCCATATGTTTAAAGGGTCATGTGACTGTTTGTGGTTGGGGAAATGCAGCAGACCGATACCAAAATCAGGCCTCTGTATCCAACTACCCCCAAGTATCCATTACCACCTTTGGGCTTTAGTATTGCTAGCTACTATCCCTTTTCTGAATATTCTAATAGGGTGACACACACACTTACAAGAACCAAATGATATAGCTAATATCTAACTAATCAGAAATGTAAAAATAAAGAAAAGAAAGATTGAAACTTTCTAAAATAGAAAAAAAAACAAAAAACATACTGCATTACCAAATGTGTAAGAAAAACTGGCATCTGACTAATTGGTTGCTATAGGTTATACTGCATCAAAAGTTCTTTGCACCTTTTTAGATTTTAGAATATATAAAAAGAATTTTGTGACAGAACGCTCTCGCTATGCCCTTCTAACACTGCTAACTGCAGTATTCCATATAATATTGTACAGTTCCGCCTTGCTGAGTTATATTAAAGAAGGCAGTAGCACAGAGAAACTTACAAAAATCAGATTTACAGCAATTTCCTTTAAAGTCAATAGATTTAAATAAAGAAATACTCAATATATAAAAATGCAACATTATTAAACACAAAGTTTGCCTATCTGCCATCTACAGAAGAAGCAGCCATCTTGTGGAGCAGATCAATATTTTATCAGATTCAACCTAAGCTGAATACTTTAAGAATAGCTCCCACCAATGTCCTTGGTGTCCTCTATATTTCAAGGTGTATAATTAAAATTGTTTTCTACCAGACCATTTTTACAACAAGGGTAGCTATATATTTTTTTTAAACATAAATACCTCAGAGGCTGGTGCCAGTAAGGCCTGTACAAAAACACCCACAAAAATAAATGTACATTTTGAGATAACACACTTGAAGTGCAGTGCCTTAAGCCTTGTACACATGGACCAAAAATCCACTGAAATTGGTTGGTTCAGCAAGAACCGGCTGACGTTCGACCCATGTGTACAGCTATCTGTTCTACAGAAGCTGGTCTCACAGCTGGCTTGTTGAATGGGCATGCTGGTAAACCAATGGCTGCGAGCGCTGATCAGACTGCAATAGCATAGCAAGGGAGATCGCTGCACTAACCACATCGATTGTGTTAGTACAGTGATCTCTCTGTGTTTTTCGTTCGATCCGCTTGGTTGAACAAAAAAAGAAAAGACTTCTCGTGTGTACCCAGCTTAAGGATTATGGCACAGTTGATTTTACAGGATTCCATAGGAGTTGAACAGAGACTGGGAGGACCAGGAGCAGCAGCAGCAGCATGGGTGAATGGAGAAGACCTACACTGAATGACACACATCAAGTACTGATAGCTGATCTGCAGCTTGTAAGATGTGTCGCCTGCATAGTGCCTGCTATATATATCTATGAATCTACCTTGCAATCATGTAGCAATGTCACGCATTCCAATGCAGAAGATGGCGTAAGGCAAGTATTTTTTTTTTTCAGCATTAATGTGGCCATTTTGAATAGAGGAGGGGCTCTATGTAAAAAGCAGACTTTAAGTTCATTTTAATGCATTTGTTGTGCTACCTTAAATTTAAATAATTTAAATGCAGCTAGTAGTAATAGTAACCTAAATTGACTCTAGTAAGGATGAAGAGCGCAGCATCAAGCGCCAGCTTGCAACAACTTGTTGATTCCAAAGCTGCCGAGTGCCAGCATCCAAGGGGATCGACTAGTCCACTAAAAGTGATTGTGAAAGTCTTAGAGAAGCCGCACACCAACACCAGTCACTATTTGGCTTTGGGAAGAGACAGGCTAAAGCCGATTCTCTATACATAGTGACTGGACTGTGTTGTTGGTGTGCTGCTTCTCATGGTCTTCCAGTCACTACGTATAGAGAATCAGCTTTTCTCCCCCCCAAAGCCAAATGGTGTTGTTGGTGTACGGCTTCTCATGGTCTTCCACAGTAATCGAAGGTATTAGCCTCTTGCAATCCCCTTTATAGCTGCACTCACACTAGAGGGCAGGGCTAAAGTCATCAATTTTGACAGCTGAAGAAAGCAAAGGGATAATATCTGTTGTTCCTTCACTATCCAATCAAAGGGCTGTGGGTAAGAAGATGACCAAGCTGTATTGCCCAACTGCAGCAGAGAAAAATCAGGTCACTAACCTTGCTTTACTGTACTGCAGTACTCTATTAATCTAAGGACTGGATGGACACAAATACAAGTACTTTAAGTAAAACAGCTCCTATATACAGTAATTAATCTGTCTATTCAGTTCAGATTTAAATGTTTCGCCGACCCAAGACTAATGTTTCAGCTATGAGCAAATGTTGGCAGGATCAGTCAAGCACCAGTTTCTTATATTTCTGAGGGACACCCATGAAAGGTTTCTACACCTGAGTTCCAAGTTCCAAGGTCTGCACACTTAGCACAGTTTTAACAAAGGAGTCTATTTATCTCTCTCTGTTGAATTTTTCATTTACTTCACATCATGGAGACTTCAGTAGAAAGCATAAAAGACACTCCCCACGTGCAACTTAAGGAGTGAAACTGGTATTGTTGTCCAAAGGAATTCCACTAAAACATTTAAGCAGCAAGTTTGCAATTCAGCTCCCCAGACTGCATACTCAAGTGAAAAAAAAAACAGCTTTGCCCCGAACTCCAGTCTAAATAAAACTAGTATATATTTTCTAGACACAGAGTTATTTAGATCCATATATAAAATAATTGCCAGTTCCTCTTCCGTGTATGTACATGGTATACATCCTAACTTGTCATCTAAAGCAGACATCCAGAATATTTTTATGTGTCTGCTGCTTACAGACTGTTAGGAGTTGGGGGCTATGCTCTTTGCCCCCTAGTGACAGTTAGACATGCTAAGCAGGAGCCTTCCAACATTATAGGTTCATCCCCATATTTAGGACTCTTAAATGGGAACTCCTAAATAGTCAGCATTTTTTTTTCTACAGAAAGAAAGGTTTTTCTGAAAATGCACGGTTTATTACATGGTCAGTTTAAACACCATAAATGCCAAGCATTGCTTTGGGAAACACTTTTATGTTCTTCCTAAACTGATCCTTTCCTTTACCTATGCAGGGGAACCTAAAAGTGTCGCTTAACTCCCCCAGCCCAGCAGCATATAATCACCATTCCTCATACCCGTGCTTCTCGGTTTTGACACCAGAACAAGAAACAAAATTCTGGATAAGCACCCGATTTATCAGAACTCACACAGACCTATAGATTCCTTTCCTTGCCCCATGTGTCAGCATTGGACCAATCAGAAGGCACCTAGCGCTGGCTTGCGTGAGTAAATCACAAGTTCACCCATACCTTAAAGTGCAGAATGGACTGGCGAGTGGTGAAGAAAGGTCAGTATATATGCGGCTGGGGAGCGAGGGAAGCCAAGTGACTCTTTAAAGAGTCCCTTTATTTGCCCCAGTATCATTTGGCAAGATTTTTAATAATATAATATATTTTTATAAATCCACAAGTTACCCTGTTCACTTCAAGATATACATCAAACATACAATTTATAGCAAGGATTTTTCATTGCTAAAATTAGAAAAAAACCTTACTTAAAAATAATGGCTATCTATAATAAAGTGCAAGAGTGCCAGCTAGACACTACTGCAAGAAAATGTTCACTGATTAAAGTAGTGCCACACTGCACTTAAAAAAGCTTACTTCCCTTGTAGCAAAATGCACATTTTTTTTTTTAACTTAAGGAGAGCTACATATGCTAGGGTCTTTCAATACATTTAAAAAATAAATATATACACTAAATAAAATATGCAGTTAAATTATGCAAAACACAGCTACAGCATTGTACTATCATTGTTGAGAAGTTTGGTGAATGATTTGCAGGCAAAAAAGACAATAGAAAGAGTGAGCGAGATGGCAATAGCCAGGTTCAAAAAGTATAAGAACAGAAAAAAAAAGTAGGAACATCTTATTAACAGATTGTTTCACTTAGGAAAATAAAGGAAAAAAGTTTTTGTTAAATTAAGAAGCCACTGAATCAATAAGTTCCATTACTTAAGGGCATCAACCCTCATCTGAAGGTCTGGGGATATTACATTTGTAACAACCATTAAGGTTCCAGTGAAAACATATTGTCCTTGTGCTAGGTTAACAGTACTTGACTGCGCATTGCAGAGTCAATCAAAGCAGCAATGTCAACTGAGCAAAGGTAATCCCTTATGGACGGATGGTGCACAAGTTTGAAAGTGTGTGCTTTTTGTCTTCTTAAATTATACTCATTATGGCATAGAATCCTTTAGGAGCTTAAGACCGACTCTGGAGGAAGACAGATAAAATGTGCTTCACATGGAAAAGCCTCTCCTTTAATGAAGTCATAGAAATAATTAGCGTTTGATAGGTCGGATCCAAGGGCAAGACGGACAAGAGCCACCAACACCAGAACGGACCATCTGGAGATGCCTGTGCGAAAGAAACACAAAAAATACAGTATGTAAATAAAAGGAACATAGATGTGATATCACAGCAGCAAATAATAAAGGATGCACAATAAAGAAGTCACTAACAAGTCACAAAATGTACTTCTTTTCACCGACAAAAGGAGACAGAGCTTCTGAGTGGAAATGGAAAGAAAACAATTTCTTCTGAACTCTGTATACAATTTTATAGTTCAACTTCAGCCAAAACATTTTAGTTTTGGATGTTGTGTGGAAAAGATAGAACGTCTTTTAACTTTTTATTGAGCTTACTTCTCATTGTGGAAATATCTACTGACTGCCCTCATCACTATGACACATGATAGAAATCTTCCCCAACAAGGTCACAGTCTACGAAAAAAAAAAAACCTGTCAGATTCTAACCCAGCATATGTGCCCAGGCAAGCACATCATTCCATTTACACAGGAAGCTGCTGCCATTGGCTGTACTGACAGCTCACTAGGTTGAAAAGTGCAAAGCCTGGAACACCCTCCTCATTGGCCTACCTAATCGCAGGTTATCATACTGCTGCCAGACTCATCCACCTTACTAACCGTTCTGTATCAGCCACCCCTCTCTGCCAATCCCTCCACTGGCTTCCCATTGTCCAACGGATAAAATTCAAATCATTAACAATAACATATAAAGCCATTTATAACTCTGCCCCAAATTACATCAACAATCTTGTCTCTAAATATCACCCAAACCGTACTCTCCGCTCCTCGCAAGACCTCCTGCTCTCTAGCTCCCTTGTCTCCTCCTCCCATGCTCGTCTCCAGGACTTCTCCAGAGTTTCCCCCATCCTCTGGAATGCTCTGCCCCAATTCATCAGACTATCGCCTACTCTGCTCACTTTTAGGCGATCTCTGAAAACCTATATTTCTTCAGGGAAGCCTATCCTGCCATCAGCTAATAATGGAATCTTCTACTCTTCCAACCAGTCCATCCCCCACAATTACTACCTTTTGTACTACTAGCCCCTCCCTCCTAGATTGTAAGCTCTAAGGAGCAGGGCCCTCCTATCCATCTTGTATTGAACTGTATTGTTGCTGTATTGTCTTCCGTTATATTGTAAAGCGCTGAGCAAACTGTTGGCGCTATATAAATCCTGTATAATAATAATAATAATAACAACAACAAGGACCCCTGATGTCACTGAGAGCCAAACAATGGTTTAGGATGCCGCTGTGCTTTGTGTAAGAAGCCTGCCCATTTGCTACAGGTACCCTATGTTCCTGAAGGTACAGGGTATGGGGCTGATCTAAAGGTCTGAAATGCATGGGTTTAGGGATGACCTGAGGTTTCAAGTGTATGGATTGTGTCATGATCTGAGGTCTGAAGTAAATGCATTGGGGCTGATCTGAGGTCTGAAGTGTAAGGACTGGGGCTGATCTGAGGTCTGAAGTGTAAGCATTAGGGGATGATCCGAGGTCTAAGTGCATAAATTTGGGCTGATCTGAGGTCAGAAGATTATGCTTAGGACATGATCTGAGGTCTGAAGTTTATGGATTGGGGGATGTTTTGAGGTCTAAGTGCATAAATGTGAGCTGATCTGAGGTCAGAAGATTATGCTTAGGACATGATCTGAGGTCTGAAGAGTATGGATTGGAAGATGATATGGAGGTATAAAGTCCATGCTTTGGGGATAATCTGAGGTCTGAAGTGTAAGGATTGGGGGATGATCTGAAGTCTAAGTGCATAAATTGCAGCTGAACTGAGGTCTGAAGTGTATGCATTGGAGCTCATATGAGGTCTGAAGTGTACGGATTGGAAGATGATCTGAGATATAATGTGCATGCTTTGGGGCTGACATGAGGTCTGAAGTGTATGGATTGGAAGATGATCTGAGATATAATGTGCATGCTTTGGGGCTGACATGAGGTCTGAAGTGTAAGGATTGGGGGATGATCCAAGGTCTAAGTGTATACATTTGGGCTGAACGAAGGTCTGAAGTGCATGCATTGGAGCTGATCTGAGGTGTGAAGAGTATACTTAGGGCATGATCTGAAGTCTGAAGTGTAAGGATTGGGGGATGATCTGAGGTCTAAGTGCATAAATTGGGTTGAACTGTATACATTGGAACTGATCTGAGGTTTGAAGTGTATGAATTTGGAGACAAAGGTTTAAAGTGAATGCATTAGAGGTGAACATAATTTGTGTGCTCTCTAGTTAATCAATCAATGTTTTCACTCTCTTAGTTGTACTGCTAATTGCAAGTTAAACTCATTAACATATAATAGGTAATGATTATCCCAACATATTGCAGGGGTTGACATAGGTGTGGATATGCATAAAGTATTAAACCACCATGTCATAGCAAAGTGTATGCCTGGACAAAATATAACCATACTATGCAGTACATGTCTACGATACATGCATTTTCTTTTTGTCCTTTTAACCAATTCAATACCGGGCAATTTTACACCTTCCTGCCCAGGCCATTTTCAAATGGTTAAAAATGCTTCCAGTACAAAAAATACCTGGTGATAATGCTAGAAATCATGTTGTTTGGATGACAACATTGTTTCTGTACAGAAATCCCTAGCAGTGTTGCCAGTCCAGCCCTAGATCTCCTCTGCTAGACTACAAAACTACACCTATCCCCACCCTAAGTGAGCTTCTCCACATGAATACATTGATTTCCCACAAAAACAAAGCTGCTGTCTTGACTTCCAAGAGCCTGCTCACAAACTATCATAGAAGTTGGCCATAGGCACCCTCTGATTCCCGCTCCCGGTATCTGCCCTTGCCATTACTTACTACAGGAGCAAGGTAAAGAAAAAAAACAGGGGCATGCGCTAGAGGAGAGCAGGGAGATATGGAGGTAAATTTGGATCATGCCCGTACAAATGCTTAAATAAGTATATACAGTTGTGACCAAAATTATTCAACCCCCACTGAAATTGAGTGTTTTGGCCAGTTTGACATTGCTTTTGATCATTCAGTCATCTGCTTACATTTACATTAAAGAGGCACTTGTAGGTCAGACAAATATAACATAACAGTTATAATGAAATAACCACAAATGTCTTTTCTGTGCTCACAGCATTATCAGTTTTATTCAACCCCCAAGTGACATTCAATCTTAGTACTTAGTACAGCATCCTTTTACAGTTATAACAGCTTTTAAACGTGAAGCATAGCTTGACACAAGTGTCTTGCAGCGATCTACGGGTATCTTCGCCCATTCTTCATGGGCAAAGGCCTCCAGTTCAGTCACATTCTTAGGCTTGCGCACTGCAACTGCTTTCTTTAAGTCCCACCAGAGGTTCTCAATCGGATTTAAGTCTGGTGACTGCGATGGCCACTCCAAAATGTTCCAGCCTTTCCTCTGCAACCATGCTCTAGTGGACTTGGAGGTATGCTTGGGATCATTGTCCTTTTGAAAGGTCCAACGTCTCCCAAGCCTCAGGTGTGTGACGGACTGCATCACGTTTCCATCCAATATCTCCTGGTACTGAAGAGAATTCATGGTACCTTGCACACGCTGAAGCTTCCCTGTACCTGCAGAAGCAAAACAGCCCCAAAGCATGATTGACCCTCCACCATGCTTCACAGTAGGCAAGGTGTTCTTTTCATCATAGGCCTTGTTCTTCCTCCTCCAAACATAGCGTTGATCCATGGGCCCAAACAGTTCTAATTTTGTTTCATCAGTCCACAGAACACTATCCCACAACTTTTGTGGTTTGTCCACATGGCTTTTGGCATACTGCAGTCGACTCTTCTTATTCTTTGGAGACAGCAAGGGGGTACGCCTGGGAGTTCTGGCACGGAGGCCTTCATTACGCAGTGTGCGTCTTATTGTCTGGGCTGAAACTTCTGTACCCACATCTGACAAATCTTTTCTCAGTTCCTCAGCAGTCACACGGGGACTTCTCTCCACTCTACGCTTCAGGTAGCGCACAGCAGTCGAAGTCAGCATCTTCTTTCTGCCACGACCAGGTAGCGTTTCAACAGTGCCCTTTGCCTTGAATTTGCGAATGATGCTTCCTAAGGTGTCTCTTGGTATGTTTAACATCTTTGCAATCTTCTTATAGCCATTGCCCTTCCTGTGAAGAGAAATCACCTCTTCTCTTGTCTTCCTGGACCATTCTCTTGCCTTCACCATGTTTGTAACCACACCAGTAAATGTCTAGAAGGAGCTGAGTATCACAGTCATTTTAAAGCTGCCTAATTGGTGCTTATTATGCTTGATTGCTGCTCGGTGACATCCACAGGTGTTTTCAATACCTGATGGAAAGCACCTGTATGAACCTCTGTTCTTCAGAGTGGTAGTCTTTAAGGGGTTGAATAATTGTGGCAATGAAGAAACCACATAAGAACCATTTACTACTGTATTACATAAACAATTGATGTCATTTTAGTTGCATTTGGGTAGTTACAACGTCCTTGTAGGATTTGATTCTGAATACAATTCCAAATGTACACTATAGTCCCTAAACCCCTTTACAGCATTGGGGGTTGAATAATTTTGGTCACAACTGTAATAGCCACTGCTTTGGAATAACTTGCCCTTCCACTTGCCTGCCCTAGAAACTAAATAAGGACAGCTACAGTATATTCTCCTTGTTGGTCTACATCACTACAATGACGTGAGCAGGTATAACCTTTTCCATTATCTCCTGTTTACCTAGATTAACAAGGCCAGCTGTATTTTCTCCCCTGGACCACGTGTTTGTCTGCTCTCGCAACACGTATGTAAATCATGTGTCCTTACAAGAGAAAAGCATACCTTGCTCGGATCGTGGTCTAATTCTGCATGTCTATTCTTTGCTGCTGGATTATTAAAGGAAAATAAAACTGAGATACTGAAACGGGAACTTATGATCTCCTATTTGGATAGAAGTGTCCCTTTGGAGTCTTTAAGTATGCTATTTTGGTTTTGAGAACATTTTCCAGTCATTTGCTTGCAAGCACCTGGCGGCTTTTAATGGACAGGAGCATCAATCTCGCTTTCAAGAGCCGACAGTGTGGGCAAGGATAAG